TATCTCCGTTGCCAACCGTTGGGGACGCTTGGTGCGCCTCCTGGTACAGCTCATGGAGAAACGGCAGCGTACCAAGGCATGACCAGAGTCAACACAGGTACTCCAGTACGAGCGGCAATCCAGGATGGAACCACGCCATCTGTACCTTATGGCTATGTAGTCAATTTGGGTCCATCGCTGGCCAGCTACAGGAGGACACCAAGTGGCACTTCGGCGCCCACTGTGTCTAAAAGCAGTGCTACTGAGAAACAACTGGTGCTCCGCACACAGTTGCAGCAGACGCTCACCGTTGTCAGTCCGTTCGGAGTTAAGCCCACAATTACCACCCAGCTGAGCTTCTGAAGAGCTCAGACGCCCTACTTGTGCGCTCATATCCTCTGTAAGTACTATAATATCTGAACTAGTAGCACTGCGTTGTAGCGCGTTCAGTTCGTGATAGCATGTGTCCTTGACAGCATTAGAACTGCAATCAGTGGGAGCATAAGCGGAAATCACAAACAAACAGCGTTTTGTACTACTTCGTGAATCAACCTTTGCTGATGTCGTCAAACGGGTTGCACAGAAACGGCTGTTCACCGGAATCCAATCAACCAACGATGGCACAGCGTTGGAGCTTAGAATGATACCTACACCAGCTTGATCCGTGAGTGCTGCACCGGCGTCTCCGGATGTGTGCAACCAATAACGAGAGGATAAGCCGGGTGCAGTTAGTTCAATCACTCCTTTAGGGTCACTGATCCTAGTTTCGGACGCACAACACACATGAATGCCCAGTGTGTGCAAGGTGTGTGCGAGTGTGGCCTGTTGACCTGTTTGTGTTAGGGTGCAAACGTTGGTTGTCGCCGTGGAAACGGGTTAGAGTGGCCTTTTAAGGGACTTGCCGATAGGCGTCCGAGATGTGCGTTGGGGTGGTGGTTGCAGGTGGTTCTACTTCTGTGTCACTTTGGTTGCTGTCAATTAAGCGGGGAATTATATTAGGAAGGTGGTAATGGGGGTCGTGACGGGAGTTAGAGAAAAAGATGGAAAAGGAAAACGGAGGCGCCAGCAGTAGCATGTTTTCACTTATCCCCCTGCTGTATGCGGCAGATTATTCGACCCTTGATAACCTGCGCGACGGCCGATGCAGAATGAAGTTTAGGTTTGAAGAAAATGTCACGGCTGATGCAGCATGTATTTATTCTTATTTGCCTTATTCCTGGTTGTGGGGTTGGACTAGGATACTTGGAGGGCGCCCACAGCTGACAAGGGTCCTCAGCCAAAGCCTTCGATTACATGTACACCTGAAAGGCAGCGAGCCGAGAGCCTTGAGTCAGTGAACTGATTCACGCGGAATTGTTTCCTGTATCTTAGCTGGCAGAAAGGTGTAACCCAACTCCCATTCCGCGGTCGCCACGAGGTGGCGTTTAGGACATGAACTCACAGCACAACATTAGGAGTAGCGGGTCGTCTACCTGTCAGGTTCTCGCCACTACTAGCTTCAGCGCTCCGTGGGCTTTCCCCTCCTGGTTCCCATTACTAACCTTCCGTCTTTGCTTCCCACTTTTATTGACAGCAGTCACTATGCCACTGAAGTCACACCATCTGAACCACCCACTGGACGCTTATCGGCAACAGTCCCTTATAAGACCACGCTGCTCCGTTTACCCGGTCGGCGTTCAACGTTCGCATTCTAAGACACAGGTTAACAGGATACATTCGCACGCAAGTTGGACACACTGGGTATTAACGTGCGTGGCGTTTACGAAACTAGGACCAATGGCCCTCATACGACTATTGAATTAACAACTTCCGGCTTGTTCTCTCGTTATTGGTTGCACGCAACTGGCGAAGCTGATGGAACATTCATAAGTCAAGCTGGTATGGGCATCGTTCTCAGCTCCAAGGCTGAGTCATCGTCGGTTGATTGGATTTCCGTGAACTGCCGTTTGTTTGGAACCTGTCTGATCACATCATTAAGATTGATTCTCAAAGTACAACTAGACGCTGTTTGTCCCTGCTGACTGCTGTTATGATGCTGACATGGTCACCTACCGCGAACTGATCAGGCTACTTCGCAATTCAACCAGTTCAGGTATCTTCGTTGTTTTAGGGGGATATGAACGCGCAAGCGGGTCGTTTGGGCTCTTCAGAAATCCATGTACGTGGTAATTGGGCCCCAATTCCGATCTGACGCTTCCTGTTCGAACATGAATGGAAGGTAGAGGCCGTCCCGGCTAACTGTAGTAAATCGACTGTAGTGGCTATATGTAAGAAAGACAGTCGCACCGACTTTACTAACCACAAGGGTATAAGCCTGCTCACGGGAATCCAATCAACCGACGATGACTTAGCTTTGAAGCTGAGAACGATGCCCACACCAGCTTGACTCATGAATGCTCCATCAGCTTCGCCAGTTGCGTGCAACCAATAACGAGAGGACAAATCGGAAGTTGTTAATTCAATAGTCGTAGGAGGGCCATTGGTCCTAGTTTCGTAAACGCCACGCACGTTAATACCCAGTGTGTCCAACGTGCGTGCGAATGTATCTTGTTGGCCTATTTGTCTTAGTGTGCAAACGTTGAACGCCTCCAGGGAAACGAGACAGCGTGGTCTTATAAGGGACTGTTACCGACAAGCGTCCAGTGGGTGGTGCAGGAAAGTAGCTGCACATGGTCTGACTTCCGTGGCATGGTGACTGCTGTCAGTTATGCTCGGAATTATGGACGGTAAGTTAGTAATGGTGGTTTGGAGGGGAGTATGAGAAACATATGTGTCTCATTCTAAGGTTGATGCTGCATGCGTGATGCTTCTTCATTGCAGTTAGGCTAAGCCGATTGCTCTATAGTAGTGAAACTTGGCCGCTTCGATCTGTGGATATCCGGCGCCGTCTAGTCTTTGTTCACCGTTTTCAGCGAAGCATTTCTGGTCTCGGGTGGCACAAGCATGTCCGCAGCGATGATATACGGAATTAAATATTGGGCAGTGATAACCAGACTAGTTTCTTAGATCAACAGCTAGCACTGAGTAAGTCGCTTTGTATTGGGTATGTACTACATATGTCCGGTCACCGCTTACCGAAAAGCGCCTTTTTTCGTCTGCCAGATGTAGAGTGGGGCAAGGTTGGAGCTGGACAAAAGTTGAATTGGCAGCGGGAAATGAAGTCACTGACGGAATAACTAGGTGCCGTTTGTCTGTCTTGCCTTCCAGGCTCAGTAGCCTTAATCACCGACAGGCAACAGTCGACTTGCAGGTTTAAGTCATCAGTTGAAATGCACATCGAAAGGATGAGGCGGCCGGACGTGTGGTGGCTGTTTGACTGAATATAGATTTGATACATTTTTACTTATAGCACACTTACTTCGAGCTAGTATTCGAAATTCCGCGTATCTTTCTCGATTGCATTTATGTTAGTCTTTGGCCTTGCACAAATCTTTCTTTTGCAGCGAACCAACACTTACAAGCAGTCTTGTATTTAGTGATAAGACAGGTCTTTTTAGTGGTCATAGGAATGGAAGAAATGATCCTTATTTTGTAGCCTGAGTAGAGTCACAAATTAGTCACGGTTTACATTTGGGCGGAAGTGAGAGTGCGTTAATGAACGCAGTTGTGAGCATATGTGGTCTTTATTTTGCGGTTAACTTTTTGTCGTATCTCGTTACTTTGTTCCTGGAGAATAACTACTCTATCGGCCCGCGCCCCTATGCATCAGGAGTGAGATACGTGTGTATCGATTGTGTAACTTTTAGCACCTTCACAGTGCGAGCTGCGACGTGCGCGGATGTTGAATGCGCGGTATACTACCACTGCTTGGTAGTCATTTAGACATCACGTTCCGTAAATGTGTGCGATTCGAGTGCAATCGTCATACAGTTGAGTCGCTTGACTTGGATGCGCTATTTTAATACTGTACTATTTTCATCTATGGCATCCTTTTGGAATATGGTTCATCTTAGTGTTTGACTCCTACCGTTAGGATGCTCTTTTCCTAATTGTACCGGTTATCGTGCGATCCAGCATTGGTTGTTTCCAACACTAATATCCCGGTGACTAGTCAGAATTGTGCGTTATTGCACTGGAATGGAATTATGTACACTTCAGATAAGTTAGCGAACCGTGTCGAAGTATTGCACACTTCACATGTTTGTCGTGAGTCTACTGCTGCGTACAGAGGTCTAGTGCTTTGTGTTACTGTCTTCCTATATATTAGCGTAGTGCTTGCCCACGGCCGTAACGCTTGATTGCAGCGGGTGATATTCATTCACGTAGATACTTGAGCTTCTTTATCTTTGGCACGTTGTTTGTGTCGTGTTGGCAGCTATCAACGGTGTGACCAAGCTTAAAAATCCGTTTATTGATTCGCCACGCCCTCAGTTTTGGTTACTTCCATCGTTCTAATGGTTTGAACTAAACTGCACGGGTGCTACCAATGAAATTATTAGTGTATTTCAGAGCTCTGGACAAATAATGAACCTATCTATGTTCCGATTGGATAAGGAGGACAGTCCTAACTGCAAGTTGTCAGTGGTGAAGAGCACGAAACTGGCCGGAACACTAAGTTTGTTCGGAATAACACCCAAAGTACCATTCGATAAACTAATGGTTCCACCCAGATCTTGTATGCTTTTCGATACCAAGGAAGGCCAGTAACATTGTTTCGCTACTTACGATTATGAGGTATGTTTGTTAGGTCTCAAACGGCCTGCTCCGAGGAAAATTGCGCTGTCTGAGAATCAAGTCGAGTTGGCACCACTAATTCAGACCAAATCTTGTAACTTGCATGGAAACATAGCATTTCACACAGGCCTAAGTCAAATGCGCACAGAAACGAAACAAATTGACTTGTTCGGGGAGGTAAGTGCGCAATTCCCCACAAATAACCGTATGCCTTGTATCGGAACAGTCTCAGTTACAAGCAGACTAGTGTTTTTCTGTGTTGCAGAACATTTGTTACTATCGCTTGTTTCACACCACTCACACGTCCCGTGATTCTTGAGATCTATAAATTCAAACTATCACGCAGCCGTGATTTAACTGTATCAGCGTGTTTTCATTCCCACGTCGGCCCGTTCTGTGTTTCGCAAATATACTTCTCGTCCGGTGAGTTGTCTTTTGGCTCGCGTGGCGCAACCTAAGAAGTTGCTAAGTCGAACCTCTAAGGACACAACAGTCTTGTTGGTATTTTAGGTGTGCATTCAACCTCAGTCAGCTTCCATTTGCTTTACTTTCTTTCGCAGTCCTTCCAGCGCACCTTGGAAGTTTTTCACCTGCTAAATGAAGTAGAAAGAACAAAACGTCTCAAGAAGAAAATCAAAAAGGCCAAAAGGTGAGTTGGTTTCCACGAAAATGCAATGTTGCTATAATATGTACTCCTACGTATTTTGTTTTCTTTTCTCAAATATTCATCTGACCGTAAAACATAGATCGAAGATGCTTCTCTATTATATACTTGTTCGCAGATACTTTGACGTTGCTGTTACAGGATACTTTCATTTCATTACTGGCGGTCTGTGGGGCCACAGCTAGACACAAAAACGGTGCCACAATCCAGGATCATTTCAGTTGGTGCAGATCCTGGCTTTTTCGTGTTTCGTCATTCATCATTATACCCATCAGCCAGAGGTGGGAAAACACCTCCGCTATTCTGCCGCAATACACGAAAGAAATACATGGTTGGCGGCATCCGGTTTCGGATTTGCCTGTCACTGTGGCCAGCCACAGGACGCCTGCGCCTACAGAGGGACCATGGGTGGCTTGCGCTGCACCACCCACAGCTCCAACCACACACCCCATATCCAGTGTAAACCCGAAGGAATAAGACCGGAAGGCATGTGGATGGGAGCCACGTTTCATCAACGGAGTCGGCCCACACTCCTTCACAGGCAAACACAAGCACGCTGTAATTGAGGAATCAAGCACACACACAAGGCGGTGGCTGGACCGTAGTCCGCTCCACACTGAGTGCATGGAACCGCCCTTTGAGCCTAGCACGGCCACAAGGACCGTGCACCCCGTCCCCTACAGCAACGACCAACTGTCTCCTGGAGCCAGTATGAACGATGTAGTGGGTAATAGACAGGTAGGCACCTTGTCAACATGCACATCAAGCGCAGCCACACCGGGGATATCAAACAACAGCCATTCACTTTAAACGACAAGCTGAAATAAACTAAATCCAATAATGCATACAGATACCGTGGCATAACTCTTCCCTAAATTATCATATGAAGTAAGTTGGTCAGCAACAAATCCGCGATAAGTAAGAAATGTCCACAAGTTACTTACAAATGCTACAAACGCAAGAAAGTTACCAAAGATAAGCGCAATTAGCGTAAGCAACGTGGCCAGTTAATAGAACATTATTCAGGTAGGCAGAACAGAACAAATAAAGTGGAATGAAATTTATGCGGCTTAAAGAGACCTAGTTTAAGTGTAAGTTGGTTTAACCCAACTGCGGTGAAGAAGCATCAAGAATGCAACATCAGCTTCAGCATGGGGCAGAAAGAAATACATGGTTGGCGGCATCCGGTTTCGGATTTGCCTGTCACTGGCCAGCCACAGGACGCCTGCGTCTACGGAGGGACGATGGGTGGCTTGCGCTGCACCACCCACAGCTCCAACCACACACCCCATATCCAGTGTAAACCCGAAGGAATAAGACCTGGAGGCATGCGGATGGGAACCACGTTTCATCAACGGAGCCGGCCCACACTCCTTCACAGGCAAACACAAGCACGCTGTAATTGAGGAATCAAGCGCACACACAAGGCGGTGGCTGGACCGTAGTCCGCTCCACACTGACTGCATGGAACCACTCTTCGAGCCTAACACGGCCACAAGGACCGTGCACCCCGTCCCCTACAGCAACGACCAACTGTCTCCTGGAGCCAGTATGAATGAGGCAGTGGGTAATAGACAGGTAGGCACCTTGTCAACATGCACATCAAGCGCAGCCACACCGGGGATATCAAACAACAGCCAAACTCTTGAGAGAGAAAGAAAAAAGAAAAAGAGAAAAACTGGATTAATGCACAAGGAAACGGTGATATAAACCTTAGGTAAATAGCATATGTAATAAGTTGTTTACCAACGGATCCTAGCTAAGTGCATGAGGTCAGGAAGTATAGTTCACGGAATGCCACGAACACAAATATATATATATATATATATATATATATATATATATATATATATATATATAGTCGATTCCGGTTAATAGGACCACCGGTTAATGGGACCAACCGCTTATTCGGGCCAAATTCTGAAGAACCGAAACGGATCCTATTACGCTAGCCTAATTTTAGCCGCTTATTAGGACCGGAATTCCGCTTAATCGGACCAGACGACAGAAGGTGGCATGTAACATAGGTGTTAAAATCAAGTTCTGTGCCTGGATGTCTGGACTAAACCCACAGTTCATATGTCGAGTTGGCCTTGGGATAAACTGAACTGTGGCAACCTTGAGGCACATCTGTCTAATTGGCTTCAGAGCCGCCCGAAACTAGATCAGATCAAGGAAAAGGGACCAACCACTAGTCAGCGTCGATTGGTGGAAATTACCTGCTTGGCAAAATCTACAATATCGCGCCTGATAAAACAAGAGAAAGATCTGCGAGAAGAATGGGCACAATGTGACGGACGACGAGGTACTTCCCAAAAACGGAAGCGCGAAGACAAGGATCCAGACGTCAATGAGGCCCTTAATGATTGGTTTGCCTTTGTTACTGGACGAGCCGTGCGAGTAAGTGGTCCAATGTTAAAGTACAAAGCAGAGGAACTCGCTAAAATGCTGGGCTACGAAGATTTTATAGCTACGGACGGCTGGTTGTCTCGATGGAAATCTAGACATGATGTAAAATTTAAGAGAGCACATTGGTGAGAATAAAGTGCCAATAGCGCTCGAGCTGAAGAATGGAAATCAACAAAACTACCAGAGCTTCCAGCAAAATTTCCAGCAGATGACATCTATAATGCTGATGAAACCGGGTTGCACTATAGGGCTACACCGGACGGCTCCTTAATTTACAAACATGTTACTCTCTCTGGTTGCAAAAAAGCAATGGATCGCGGAACTGTCTTGTGCTGCTCAAACATGTCCGGAACAGACAAGAGGAAGTTGCTGGTTATAGGAAAATGTGCCAAGCCTCGCTGCTTTAAGGGACTCAGAATGGACAGTTTGCCAGTTGTGTATCGTGCGAACAGAAATGCATGGATGAGTTCTACACTTTTTAAAGAATGGGTGAAGGATTGGGACACAGAGCTACAACGCCAGTCGAGAAAAGTGTTATTACTTCTCGACAATTGTGCAGCACATTCAAATTTGGATTTCTTGAAGAATATCCAGATGGAATTTCTGCCTCCCAAGACCACATCTTTGATACAGGCAATGGACATGGGCATCACAAAAAATTTGAAGACCTTTTATCGTTCAAGGTTGGTGAATTACATCCTTGAATCAATTGAGGAAGGCTTGCTGACCTCATCCTCGACGGCCGGAGAAATCAGTGCAAAGGTCAACATTTTGCAAGCCGTTACATTCGTGGCCGAAAGTTGGCGAAAAATGAGCAGTGCGACAATTAGGAACTGTTTTTCTCACTGTGGCTTTAAGCATATTGTTTTGGAGATGGATGTGGATATGGTGATTGTAAATGAAAATGACGGCGAGAATGTGGAGCTGAAACAAGTAGAAAATTACGAAGATATTTTGTCAATCGACAACGAACTTCAACTCTATGGTGGAAATGAAGAATGCGATGCTGCCATTGTTGCTCGAATAGCAGCGAAACACTTAACAGCAACAGAAGACCATGGAAGTGATTAAGAGAACCCTAACGTGTTGATGCCAGTCACAAAACAGGATGCAAGGAAATGCATTGAAACATTGCACCGCTATTTCATGCAGGAAGGAAATGAAGGTAGTCCTATTACTGCGTTACATGTTTGTGGTGATTTTGTGCGAATGCAGTCTGTTAAAAGAATGCGTCAAACCACACTGGATACGGTCTTCAAACGCTGAATGGAATTCGGTAATCCCTTTGTATAAAACTGTACTTCACATGCTGAATATCTTGTAGGTCGTTACGAAGAATTTGTTTATAAATTTCTTTTTCAGTGAACAAAGTTCGTTATCAAAGCAGTTCTTTTTTGTGTGTTTGCTATAAATATATGCCGCCAATACAGGTCATAATAGTAGTTTCCTATGTTATGTATAGCACGTCCCATCTTGTTACATCGGGTAACTTCGGTTAATCGGACCAGCCGCTTAATAGGACCAAAATGGTCTGGTCCCGATGTGGTCCGATTAACCGGAATCGACTGTATATATATATATATATATATATATATATATATATATATATATATATATATATATATATATATATATATATTTGGTTGGCGGCATCCGGTTTCGTATTTGCCTGTCACTGTGGCCAGCCACAGGACGCCTGCGCCTACAGAGGGACCATGGATGGCTTGCGCTGCACCACCCACAGCTCCAACCACATACCCCATATCCGGTGTAAACCCGAAGGAATAAGACCGGCAGGCATGCGGATGGGAACCAGGTTTCATCAACGGAGCCGGCCCACACTCCAAACAAATCCTAGCTAAGTGCACAAGGTCAGGAATTATAGATCACGGAATGCCACGAACACAAATATGCTACGGAAATTGAATACAATTGGCTTAGGCGAGGTGTGTAAGTTAATGGAATAGAGTACAGGGAGATTTTATATGAGAAAGAAAGGCATTAAGGCACAAACTGTAAACCCACCACCTGAAATAAGGAGACTTGGCATGCAAGCACGCGGTTAGTAAATCGAATTCAGCGTGCCTACAAACGCTGCGCTGGCTCGCCGTAATTCTCTGCAGGACCCGTCGTCGCTTCTGTAGTGGCCCGAAAGGACCTAGCTCATGGCCCACTAGACATTTATATGAGAAAGAAAGGCATTAGGAGAATCGCAAACCCACCACCTGAAATAATGAGACTTGGCATGCAAGCATGCGGTTAGTAAATCGAATTCAGCGTGCCTACAAACGCTGCGCCAGTGCTGCCTACATTCACTGCTGGACCCGTCGTCGCTTCGGCAGTGGTCCCGAGTGACCTCTCTCATGGCTCACTAGGCCTGCCTGAATAAGGCACTCGCGACCGCATGTTCTACAGCACCATGCGCTCGATGTCGATGGAGTACAATTCATTGGTGCTTGCCGCTTCTTCTCTGCATGCATGAGGGCCTTCTCCCGCACTTCAGCAACTGCCTTCGTGATTAGATCGCGCCATGCACCACGCTGTATTTGGGGAATCAAGCTCACACAAGGCGGTGG